CCCCCCACCTCCCCCAGCCAGCGCGGGCCGCAGCACGGCTGGCAGGGGCAGCCCCAGCCAAGGAGCGGGTCCCTCACGGCCGGGGCTCTGGTCCCTCGCTCACCCGGAGGCCAGGTGTGCTTCCCTTTGGTCAGTGAGTTGTAAACTACAGGATTCAGCTCTGCGGAAGGAAGGTGGGAGAGTGCAGGCAGCGCGGTGCCGAGGGCGCTGGAGGAGGTGCTGCGGGCTAAGTCTCTTCCTGGCTGCGGTGCCGCAGGGCGGGCGCCTTCTCATCTCTCTCAGCTGGGCCTTCAGTCCGATTTCTTGGCAGGTTTCCTGCTCTTCCACATCACGACCATTATAAAAACACCTACCATGAGGGAGAGAACAGATTCAGCCAGAAAACTTCTCATTCCGGACACTTTTAAAACACGCCGCAATGGGAAACAAAACCTCAGCAGAGCAGAAAAATCCCGCTCTCCAGAGGCTTAAACAGCCATGGTTACACGCAAACACACGCCCTGAGAGCTCACGCTGAGCTGTGACAGCACGTCACGAGTGTCACACCTTAGCTAACCCTCCAGCAACCCTATTCTCTCTTCCTAATTTCGAAGCCTCTAATTAGAGCAGAAGGAACACTCACCTATAAAGAGCAGCAGCAGCAGCCCGGCCACCACGGGGATGATAACTGCGTACTCCCTTGGCAAGAAGTAGCGGTGGATGCCGTGGTCGCTGTCGATGAAGGGCTGCAGGAGACAGAGAGAGACGTCAGCCGGTGGGCACAACACCAGGGCAGGTCCCCGACACCTGCAGCCTCGTGGTTTTGAAAGCAGGATGGATATATCGGGTGTGAGGGGATAGCTAAAAAAAAGAACCCAAAGAAGGGCCCACAGCTGCAGGGACACGACAGCAGGCGGGCAGACACGACTTCAGCTGACAACCTAGGGGTCATGAGGCTGGCACAGGGGTCCCACAGCCCCAGGGTGACAGGGTGGGCACGGCTGCCGGCCCGCTTGGTGCTGAACACGGGAAATCCCTGACTCTCTGCCCTGCAGAAGGGAGCGGCTGATAGCGGCTCTGCTCTACGGCGATCCTGCCCGGATCCCTCGGCGGAGGCCAGTGGGAGGCTTTGGACACTAGAGAGCAGTGTAAGGATGGCAGCAAGCACCCCCATGCGCTCCCGGTGCTACGGGCCCTATAAACATGTACCTGGCAGCAGGCGCAAGAGGGGAATTCCAAACTCGGAGGTTAGAAGGGAAGCTGCCGGGAGTTCAGACGTCAGCTGAAGGCTGAACCCGGCTGCCTGTACCTGGAAAGCTCATGAGGAGACATTTCTTTCCAGGAAGAAAACCACTAATGATCCTAGCTGATACATCCCTAGAAGTGGGCAAAGCACCAAGCTCACAATCACTTTTCCAGAGCTCTGCATTCCCTAAACGCTTCTCCTCCCTACCAGGCTCCAGATTTGCTAAGAGTAGCCTCTTTTTACATCTCCCTCTGTGACCTCCCACCAGAACCTGGAATCTGAAGGACTGCCAACGTGAACACCAGTGACAAGACCTCCAGAGGAACCGGGTTTCAGCTCTCGCTGACAGGCTGAGGGAGCCTTGGATCTTCGGCCACGCCAGCTCGTCTGAGAGCAGCGGGGCAGGCGGCACGATGGAAGCTTGGTCTTGCCAGGGCAAGGGCAGGCACACCCAGAAGGAGCACAGGCTGTGCCAGTAAACAGAGGAAGTTCTGCCCTCAGGTTTTTAACCAGGAAAGCTGGAAGTGCGGCGTCCTTCAGGCACATGGATGCAGCAGCACCTAAACAAAACCTAGGCTAGCACCGGGGTGTGAAGCGGCTAGGATTGTGACAGCCAGAGACCCGTACCAGGACGATGATCCAGAGGGTGTAGTAAACAAAAAGAACGAAGCTGAAGGCAACCAAGCCGAATCCAACCACC